CGGCATCGGACCGAAGTCCGGTATACATATTATATCAACAAGCATAAAAAAAACATAACATGAAAGCTAACATTCCTCGGGCTTGCCCCGGCATTGGACCAAGGTACGGAACACATAATCAGACACATGCAAGAATCACAAAGACATCAAGCATACTAACTTCCTCGGGCTTGCCCCAGCATCCGACCGAAGTCCGGAACATAAAATCTACATCGGGCCAACCCCGGCACATACAATCACACATAAACGGGCCGACCTTGGTGCCTTAGACCCATTCCTATAGGAGAAGACTCACCTCTCAAACTGGATGCTGAACTCGTGTGTGAGGAATCTCTGCTGGCTGCTCCCACGACTCCCCGGCTAACTCTATACAATAATACTTAGTCAGAAAACTGAGAATCCCTCTAAGGGTAAAATGACCATTTTACCCCTGCTCTAACTTTGGACCATATCCAAGGCCCAATTCCAACTAATCCTTATAAGTCCACTAATGGCCCACTAAGTCCCACTAATGACCCAATTTTCTAAATTGGGCCCAACTTCTCAAATGGGCCTTCCCTAAGCCCAATCATGTCCTTAGTCCAAAATTTGACTTCTGATGGCCCACTAAGGCCCAATAACTGATAAGTCCAATAGTTGGCCCAAAAGGTAAAAACCCAATACTGTTGAGTACGCGGGGCGTACTCCTCTGTACGTAGCGCGTACCTGCTGTATGGCTTGTACGATGTGCGTACTGGCTGGTACGCCCAGCTATCTACCCTGTTAAGCTACTTTTCCTATTAAGCACTTAATACTCAACTCAAGAGGCTATAACAACAGATCCGAGTCCTTTTCAATGTCTTGATCCAAAAGTCGATCACTTGGTGGCTTACAACCCACCAAATGAGCCCAAACATTGAGTAATAGCAACTAACTTCATAAAAATGGCTAGATCTCATGCATCGTTACATAAAGGCCTTAAAGGTTGAAACTTTACTGCTAAAGGAAGGCTTTGAGCTCCAAGGGTGGCAACCTTAAGCTCAAAAACGAAGTTGCATGATAAAGATCCAACCTTTGGACCTAAAAAGGTCCAAAACTCCATTATCCTAGATCTAAGCTTCTAAGAGGAAAGTTAGGAGCTTTATACCTCCTTTGAGTGCCAAAAGATGAAATAGTCCCAGATCCTTGAGCTCAAGATACTCAAGTTCTTCTTCTTCAACTCTTCTTCTCTTCTTCCAAGCCTTTCTTCACCAAAAATGAGCTCAAAAGGTCAAACACACACAACAATGTAGTATGAGGGCGAATTAGGGTTTTCTGAGGGTAAGGGGCTGGTAAGGAGGCCAGGGGGTGGCTATAATGGGGTATTTATATGTCTAAAACCCTAAAAATTAGGGTTTTGGCATCTGCTCACGTACGCTGCGCGTACTCCTGGTATGCTGCGCGTACGTGCGCGTCCCCCCGTATCCAATGCACGCCTCTACGCGCCGCGTACGTCTTATGGGCGGCCCAATTCTTTGGCCCATTTGCTTAAGTCCAATCCAATAGTTATTTTTATCCGTATTTGGCCCATCAATATTTTAAGAAAATAATTAATAATTAATACCTCAAATGACGGTCGTTACACAAATGTATCAAAGTTCAAAAGATTTGATTCAAACTTGCAAAGTTGAAGTTGTCAAGAATGAAGTTGTTCTTGAATTCAAATCTTCAAGATCCAAAAAGATGAAAAAGAATAAGAAGAAGATAAAAAACAAGAACAATTGGGTTTCTAAACAAAAATCTTCAAAAGTTGTCTTGAAGCCGAAATCTATGAAACAAATTTGCGTTCCAAAGCAACAATCATCAATTGTTGCAATAAATTTGAATTCTAAACCCAAAGTTGTTGAAGATTCTTATGAAGATGATGCTTGATCGTTGAAAAATGCGAAGAACGGATTGTACAACATGCATCGTGGGTGGTACAATGTGAAGATTGGAAATTTTCTTGTTCCAACAAAAGAGAACCAAGATCTTCAATGATTGATTCATGTGTTGTAAACGGAAAACGGAAAGAGAATCATCAAGAAGGTTTCTCAAATTCTCAAATGGATTCCAAAAAATTCATGTTGAGATCGAAGATGAACGATCAAGGTTTTTCTCGAAATCTGAATTTAATCATTTTTTTTAAATCGTGCTTTTTCTTTTTGATTGTTGATCGTTTTGACTCGTTGGATCTATTTTGTTTCAATCCCATTGTTGATCCAATATTTTTTTAATAGATCAAGCTCAAAATCAAAATTGTGATTTTTTTACTATTCATTCGATCCAGCCCAATCTAAAAAGTTTTAGAAGAGTTACTCTCCATCAGTTGAGCCCATTTCGAAATCAATTTTTTTTATTCTTCATTTGATTCGATTCGAAGCCCAAAGTCCAATTCAAAATTTCTTTGATTATGTTACTGTTCATTAAATCCAACTTGGAGCCCAAACTTCGATTAGACACTGTTGATGAAATCGTTAGGAGTCGAATTCATGGCCGTTCACATCAGGGACGTTAAATGCCTTGGGGACGAACATGTTTCGCATCGAACGATTATACTTGGGTCGAAATTGATTTCGATGTGCACCAGACCATTTCAACATGTGAAAGTCAAGGTTGCATTGAATTTGCATCTGAATTCGTTTTGGGGTTTGGTAGCGTTTTTCATCTATTTGAATCGCTCATTCGGGTTCATTGTTCCGCAATTTGCAAATGCAATTCTTCACTTAATCAATAAGTGATTAATTGATTCTGCCATTGTTTCTATCAATCTATCTGATAATCATCTCAATTATCTTCTAGTAATTTCTATTTTCATCACATCAAATGGCAAATCTCAATGTGAACACGATGATAAATTATGCCAATGTTCTTGGATCTGCAACGACTGATTCCCGAATTACATAAAAATACAAGCGTCAAAACTGAAATAATAGGAATTTTAGTCTTTAAAGCATCCCTTCAAGAAAATATTTGCAATATATATACCATCATAAACCTAGAAAATACTTGTAATACATAAACCAACATAGTTTGACTTAGAAATACATGAAAATAAGCATAGTTGGAGCTACAAATACCATAAAATCATAAGCGTCAGATTAAAAATAATAAAAGTCATACTCTTCAAAGTGATAGTCTTCATGAAATCGAACAACTAGAGGTCCAATCCTTCTTTTAGTTCACTCTCTACGTTAATCATTAGAGTTGACACATAGCAAAAATCGAACCAGATGACAGTAAATGATATTGTTAATGCAATGTGTGTTATTTTAGAAATGACATTTTCCAAAAGAATTTTTTCGTATAAATAAATTTATTCGACAAAAAGAAACTGGTTGGCATTGCGAAAAAGAAACCAGTCGTCGTAGCGCGATTAATACAATACAATCAACCGCTACTAATAAACCATTTGAAAGTCTATGTAGTATAAAGATTGTTTTCAATTAAGATTGATAATTACATTTGGCACCACACTACCTGCGTCGTTTCATTGACAGTAAATACTATGATGACACTATCAGTATGCCACACCAAGAAAATATAATACCTTCAACTGAGGTTATTTCTCCCATTTAAACAAATGAGGTTATTTGTCCCCTTTAAACAAATGTTGTCAAATTAGTGTCGTCTAAATCACCGACATCAACGGTAACTATTATTGACTTTTCTATCATAAATTATAAATTATATTGTTTATATCTTATGTTTTTTTTTTATGTCTTTTGGTTATAATAATATTAGGTTGTTTACGTTAATAATGAAGTTGATGTTTCTAACAAGTCTAGTTCTAAGGTAAATAATGTTAATTTGAATAACTAACTGACAACTGGCAGACCATGTTTTTTATTTTATTTTATTTTTTATTGTTGCATATTTTGTTAAATTATGTTTATTTGTTATGTTTCTTGCTCACATTTTATTTTTCCAACTATGATGGTTGTTGTAATATCAAAGGTGATCCTATGAATGCATCTATGTCTAAGGTAAACATGAGGAATATACTAATGTAAGTTATAACATATAGTTTAACTTATGTAATTTTTTTACGATTGTTGTTTTTACTTTTACATTTAGCCTATTTGTACCAATACGAAAGTCGATGCTTCTAACAATTATATAACTGACTCAAACAATGAAGAAGACAATTAAGTAAGTTATAACGCATTGCTTATTATATAGAAAACATTAAATATCAATTATTTTATGATGAATTATTGTTTCGTTTTATTTTGGCCTTATTATATAATGCAGATGGTAACTGAGTAACAATATTTTTTATGAGACCCACGAGAATAACAATTTACTTTGTTAAAACATCTACGACAGAAAACAATATAAAAATGAATTTGAGATGTAATTAAATAATAGCTTTGACATTTTTCTATAATATTTTTTTGTTTTTAAACTTAGTTTTGTTTGATTGTGTTTTAATTAATTTTTATTCTTATTTTATTATTTTTTTCATTTATTGTTATTCTTTTATTCCTTCACTAGTTTATAACTCGTGAGTACCACGATTAGAAAATTAATTAAACTTTTATAATAAAAATTTATAATTATTAATCAGTTATTTTAAATAAGTCATTTTAAATAAATTATTAATTAAAAGATATATCAAAATTTTAAAGTTATTATAACTTCAAATTTAACATATATTTAGAAAATATAAATTTGAATTTTAAAATAAATTGCCTAATATATTTATATGACACATGACATAATATTAATAAGAAGTTGTATTAGAGTGACACTTTGTAAAAAAAAAAGCATTAAAACTATTCGTTTATTACGTTTATTAGGATTAAAATAAAGATTCATAATCTAAGCCGCAAACCGTAGCCGAACCCACTCTTAACGCAGTTGCAATTCACAAAGAGGATTTTTTACTTTTCTCTAGTATTTATGTTTGCAAAACGATTTGGGTAAAATTTCAAATTCGCCCAATAGCATACTATATATGACCCGACTTACACCAATCCGGATCCCTATTATTCTCTGCCATGTCTGCCATTTTCAATCCAACGGTGGATACACAGCAGAGCCCATGTAGGCGGCAGTCAATTTATATATTTATAAAAAAGAAATAAAAATTAAAAACCACAACAAACCAAAACATAATAAATAAATAAAAAATAAAAACAATAATCTCTACTCGCTTATTTCGACTGGATCATCTTCTAGGTCACTCCCTCCTCTCCTTCGAGGTTTTTTTTTTCCTTTCTTTTTTTCTTTTCTTTTCTTTTTTTTTCTCTTTTCCCTTTTTTTTTGTTCAACCAAAACCCTAGATTCTCTTCCTATCGTATATATTTTGTATCGGAAGATGCAGCATCATCCAAGGATAAGGCAACACCAAGCATTGATGCAGCAATCCCTTTATCACCCAGGCCTCTTAGCCTCTCCCCAGGTAAAATTAGTTTCATTTTCATCCATTTTCATCCTTAAATGCTTCTGTTCCTTTCTTTCTTTCATGTGAAAAGATCAAGAATGGTATGGCTTTTAATGAAATCAAGTTGCTAGGTCGCTGTTACTTAGTTTTATGTAAGCTTCGAGTAATTGTTCTATAGTTAAAAGTTACCTTGGTGGAGCTAATTCGGTTTACATAATCACCCGCTGATGCGATCGCCCAAAAATTTCATCACTTTCAGATCAGTAAACTAACACAGCATTAATTCAAACCTAATCAGTATCTGTTTCAATTCCTCGATTAGAAAACACTAGGTTGAGTATGACTTGTAACTTCGTATGACGACTTTTCATAATCTGCAACTAGTTTGACCTTTTCCTATTTGGGTTTTCTAGTGTCTTCAATAGCTTTTAATGTGAATATCATATGAATTGTTTTCCTCTAAAGTTCCTTCTTTTCATTTTAATGCTTATTTTCTCCATATCTTATGATTCATTAACTCTTTTCCTTCACCATTTTTAATACATTACATCTGCAGATAGAGCCTATCTTGAGTGGAAATTTGCCTCCTGGATTTGACCCAACTACATGTCGCAGTGTGTGAGTGTCTTTGAATGTTCTTAACTCTTCTATTTCTACATCTTTTCAATTTTGAGTGTGTTTTCTCAGATTTATTTATGGTGTTCAATTAATGTCATAGGTATGTGGGAAACATCCACCCACAGGTTACAGAATTACTACTCCAAGAGATTTTTACAAGCACTGGTGCTTTGGAAAGCTGTAAACTTATTCGAAAAGAAAAGGTTTTATGATTTTCATTTGTTAAAAATTAAACCATGTTATTACTTATTAATATTAATATCTTACTTATATCTCTTATTATTTGTAGTCATCTTATGGTTTTGTTGACTACTTTGACCGACGTTGTGCTGCTCTTGCTATTGTCACTCTAAATGGAAGACATGTGTAAGTATAACTAATTTTTCGTTTCCATAAATTTTCAATTTTTCACTCATTGAAAATTGTATCTTAACTTCATGTATTTTGTAGGTTTGGTCAACCAATCAAAGTCAATTGGGCATATGCCAGTAGTCAAAGAGAAGATACATCAGGTTTTTTTTTTTACTGTTTTCTTCAATTCAATACACAAAATAATTCATAAAATGCTAATTACTTTTTTTTTCAGGTCATTTTAACATATTTGTAGGTGACCTTAGCCCTGAAATAACTGATGCTACATTGTTTGCTTCATTCTCTGTATACTCCACTTGTTCGTAAGCCCTAATTTCTCTCACTTCCCATATTTTACTCCATTAAATAATTATAAATTTATTTATTTGTATAATATTTAATTTTTTTTTAATCTCAAGTGATGCTAGAGTTATGTGGGATCAGAAAACGGGTCGATCCAGGGGATTTGGGTTTGTTTCATTTCGTAGTCAACAGGTAAGATTGAAGAATATTTCGACAATAAATTCTAAAAAAATTATTTATTTAACTTTTTATTTATTTTTTATTCATCTAACAGGAGGCTCAAACTGCAATCAATGATATGAATGGAAAGTGGCTTGGAAGCAGACAAATTCGTTGCAATTGGGCAGCAAAGGGTGCAGGGGGAGACGATAAACAAAGTTCAGATTCCAAAAGTATTGTTGAATTGACAAATGGAACATCAGGTTTAGTCAAATGTCTAAAATACCCTTTGTTAAATTTTTGTGGAGAATTAATGAATCATGGTAAATTTTTGTGTAGATGATGGTCAAGAAAAGAGTAGTAGTGAAGATGCTCCAGGGAACAATCCTCAATATACAACTGTTTATGTTGGGAATCTTGCTCCTGAGGTTTATTATTATTTGTTTCCATTTAATGAATTTAAGTATTTTCAGAGTGTTGTTGAAATTTAAATGAAGAAAATAATATTTTTATTAGGTTACATCGGTTGATCTTCATCGACATTTTCATGGACTTGGAGCTGGAGTTATTGAAGATGTAAGGATTCAAAGAGATAAAGGATTTGGTTTCATAAGATATAGCTCTCATGGTGAAGCAGCTCGAGCTATTCAATTTGGAAATGCCAAACTTTTGTTTGGGAAACCACTCAAGGTATTAAAAAACTACAATTTTTTTTTTTTTTAAATAAGTTTGAAACATAACAAGTATAAATTAATCTCAATTTAATATATAACATCACAAGTAATGTAACAAATATTAAATATAATGGTATTGATACGTGGTGTTAATTAATTGCAGTGTTCATGGGGGAGCAAACCTACGCCACCAGGAACAAGCTCCACCCCATTGCCGCCACCAGTGGCGGCAAATGTTGGCGGTTATTCAGCGGGGGAGCTTGCCGCCTATGAAAGACAGGTGGCTCTGAGTAAAATGGGTCTGATGCACCACCACCATCAGGCGGCTCAACGGATGGGGATGGTGGCTAGTCAGGCGGTGTATGATGGTGGTTACTCTGGTGTTGCTGCACAACCGCCGCCTTTGTACTACCAGTAATAAAATAAGGTGTCAAGAAAATTTAGGATGATTTTTCTTTGCTGTTTATTGTTTGTTATAATTTCTAAAAAAAATCGATTATGTATGCGTGTTTTCCCATCTTTTAGGATGGGTGTATCATGGTATATGTAGCTCTTTCTTCTCCCATCATCATCATCATCATCATCATCATCATCATCAATTATGATTGTTTGTGTTGTATCCGGGGGAGCTTGATCATCATTTTGGGCAACTGAGGACAATTTCTTGAGCTTTAAATTTACGACGAGAAGCATCACAAGCATGTAAAAACATGGAAATTCTTAGGATCACTTTGTCAATAAGTTCTAGACAAAAAGAAACCTCGAATGTACATATTAGCCCACAATAACATAATAAATTGTCTAGCTATTTCTAGCACAAAACATAACATCTTAAAATGTAAACTAAGCACAAAACATAACATCTCAAAATGTAACTGTTCAGCGTAATGAATCACACATGGGTTAGATATATGGTTGTTTCAAATGGATAAACAAAGATAATGTACTAGAAAACACATGCATATAAAAGAGAAGATTTCAATTCGTAAATAGACAAGTCATAAGTCATAACATAATAGTTGTCTAGCTATTTCTAGCATAAAACATAAAAATCTCAAAATGTAACTATTTTATCATCTTCAAGTCCGCATTGATTCTCTTGATTCCCATTCAAGCATATGTCAAAATAGTATTCATGTGAAGCTTAATGAGTCACACTTATGTTAGACATCTTTTAGAAACTATATATATATATATATATATATATATATATATATATATATATATATATATATATATATATATATATATATATATATAGAGCTAGGTTCAAATGTGGATGAACATCTATTGTGTGGATGTGTGGACAATGCTATTCTGTGAGAATGACAAATAAAATATGTTGTTTAATAATATGAATACGTTCAATCTTACATAACTATTGTCATTATCACACATTCTCACTAATTAAATCGCCTATAAGGTTATTATAGATTTTTTATTATTATTCTCATTCTGTCAGAATGTTGTCGGAATGTTTATTAAGTCGTATTCTGTCAGAATGATAATGAGTGAAAAACGATTTGTGAGAACAAAAATGAATAATAATTAGTGAGAATGCATGAAAATGACGATATTTTTGTAAGGTTGAACGTATTCGCATTACTAAACAATGTATTCTCTTAGTAATTCTCATAGAATCGCACTGTCCACACGTGCACACAATAATTGTCCATCCACATTATAACCTAGCCCTATATATATATATATATATATATATATATATATATATATATATATATATATATATATGTGTGTGTGTGTGTGTGTGTGTGTGAAAAGGCCTTACAACATTACATATTTATAATTGGAATTTTAAGCAATCTTTAGGTGTTTGTACCACACTAATTTCATCACCCATTCCTCAATAAGATAGATGAATGTTCATTATCGTGATATGTGCAAGATATAGTATCTTTTACAAATGATAAACGACCCCATTCTAAATCAAATTACTTATAAGAGGTACAAATAGTACACATAGTAACAAGGAACACACAATATATCATCATGAGGCACATATCAAAGAAAATAAGACATCATAGAGGGACATATAATTAGAATACCTAGTACTCAGTTTGGTAACTTATGGATTGCATATCAGAACAATAGAGTACACGACTTACAAAACCCTACATTCAAAGATTCCAAAATTTGGTATTGACTCGACAATTATATGATATGGTCGTACCATATATTGTACGGTCTTAAGAACAGTTCATGAAAAATGTCCCATCCAAGTCCAAAAATAGATTACTAAAAACCATCACGTACCTATGATCCATAAAATTTTCTTTCTAAACCATACGGGTGTACAAGAGAAGGTTACAAGTTGTTGCCTAGCCTTCTAAGTGTAAATCCTTCCGGTAAACACTAATTCTATCCAAAAGCATCCGTGTTATACGTCTATATGATAGGATCATACGTCATGGCATATAGTCTTTGTAGGATCGCATATAAGCATATCAAACTTAGGGTAGTAGACATATATTTCAGAAGAATTTACACGAACTAGATATATCATTATATAGATTGTATATAGCTTATACAATCATATAACCAACGTTATGGACATACGTCGTTCATTGGATGCACCTGTCTAATTCGTATTGTCTTGATGGATTTTTGTATGGTCGTATGGATGGCGCTGAAGGGTATTTTTTACGAAATGTTCAAAGGTTTTTTTATGAAATGCTCACATGGGAACTCATTTTCGATGATTCCTTTCAATGGGGGATAACTTAAAACATAAGAAACGTTGTTCTAATGCTCATAACATCCATTTAATACATCAAATCCTGTTGATTTAAGAATCTAAATGGTATGACCCTGTTTTGATCAAAAAAACATCCCAATCACTTCAAATGGATGAAACGGTTGTCTACCTTGATTCGTCTCAATAATATGGTGATCAAACAACACAAGCATCAACCCTCCAAGCTCAAATATGAATTTCTTTCTAAATTTATAGAATTTTCTCTCTTATCATTTGATAACACTATGAAGAAATGAGGATAGACAAAACTCCGAGTTTAAGCTTCAAAGAAAGTCCTCCTATTCACACTTAGGCCACATAAGAATGATTAAATCGAACTTTTAACCCAAAACATTAATTCTCTTAATTTAAACCAAAATCCAATAGGTTAACAAATTAAAGTCCTAATAAGGAAATGACAAAAATGCAAATACCACATACCTTAATCTCGTATATGGGTTAGCTACTTAGCCATGACCTTCGTTTCCCATCTTCAAAGATCTACACCCGGTTTTGCCATCTATTAACTATTAATTAGAATATTATAGAGATAAAATAAGTGTAAAAATCTCTAGCCCTATTTCCATGTGTTACACTACTCCACTATCCTAATTTTGTGTCTCCACTCCACTCCTAATCTATACACACGAGTCATGTTATAGGAAAGTGTTAACCCCTTTTTCGCTAACCTCAAACTATCTCATCACTTTCTACTCAGACGGTGTCTCTTATACTTAACTATATGTTTTTTTTGTAAAGTAACCATTAGATGGACTTTCTTGTTTCTATAAACTTGTTTATGCTAAGGGTGTATATATCCTCTTGACGTGATGCTACTAGCTAATAACTCTTCATTATTGATGCGTGCTTATTCTCTTTAATTTGCTTTGTTTGCATATTGCGACTCTAAACGGAAAACATGTATAAGTATATAAATCCTTGAGAGTTTTGGTTTCCATTATTTTTAGTCATTGAAAGCAGCTTTTGACCTCATCTACTTGCAGGTTTGTCCTGCCTATCAAAGTTAACTGGGCATATGCCTTTAGTCAAAGGAAGATACAACAGCTTTGAACTTGCTTTTAAAGTTACTTTCTCTCACCACCCACACTTTACTTGATTAAAATGCGCACACTTTACTTGATTAAAATGTGAGATTATGAGTGATCGATCAAGTCACTTAGTTGTATGATATTAGTGTTGATTTTATCTAAAATGATGCAAGAGTTATGTCCAATCAGAAGATGGAGCGATCCAGCCGATTTGGTTTTGTTTCATTTCGGAGTCAACAGGCGGTGTATGACGGTGGTTACTCTGGTGTTGCCGGTGCACAACCGCCTTTGTAGTTTGTACTACGAGTAACAAACAAACCTTAGGATGCTTTGAAGTTTGTTGCCTTATGTTAAAATTCTTAAGTTCTTTCATGATGGGTGTATGATATTATATGTAGCTCTTTGTTCTTGTGTATGATGGAATTTTGTAAAGTTTGTATTTTTTGCAAATGAAATGCTCAAATTGAGAGCTTTCCGGATCCGGTGGTTAATTACCGATTACAATCTAACAAAATTGTGGAAGAAGAAAAGAGTTTGGTTAAATGGCGAAGATTCCGGTGGAAAATATCCGGCCATGAACATGATCACCGCCGCAAGGAGAGCTTGAAACCGCTTCAGTTCCACAGCGTTTCTCTCTCATTTCTTCCATACCAATCTCCCTGCATCTACACTCGATACTACAAAACGCTTTCTCTCCCCTGTTACATATCATCATTCATCATCTCATGTCAGTTTAACTACTCAAAAACTTCACAAGTCGCAACAAAACGTTAACAAAAAACAAAGATTTAGATCTTTTTTCTTTTACCTGTACATATAAATGTCTTTCCCATGGAGTTTTTTCTTGCACAGATGACAAAAACTCAGAAAGTCAGGCTCTGGGTGTCCTTTTACATCAAGTACTCTCGCCGGAGATATTTCGAAGAGGGAGCAACCTTCTTCTTTCATCCCGCTGTTTCTTCTAACGTATCCTTCGTATACGAATCCACCATCGTAGACTTTTGTATATGAATTGTTTGGCATGTGACGAGTTACTATGGTGTACTCTTCTTCCAAGCTTTCGTCATCGACATCGAACTTTGGGGGTTGAGTTACCGGAATCGAGATGCACCGGGAAGTCGACTGGATATCGTCACCGGATTTCTCGAGGGCGGCGACTATACCAAGTCCGATCCCACCCACATCACAAGTCACGATTCCTCTGGGTGACAGAATTTTGAAGTCAAAGGGAGTTCTTGGGCTGCTACCGGCTTCCATAAAGCCGGAGCGGTTGCCGGCGGTTAACAACTTCCCGATCAGCGGCCTTGTTTTCTTGCCTGACATGATCGTATACTGGAATCACAGGACTGTGTGTGTGAATTATTATGAGAGAGAGAGAGAGAGAGAGAGAGAGTAGGAAATGGGGAATGAATTGTGGGAAAGTTTTATAGGGAAAGGAAGAATTGGAAATTAATAATTTAAAGTGGAGGGTATGATTGATGGATGGGGCCCACTACCCATGGTTTCTGCATTCAAATTATTTATCTTTAAACTTTGATGATGCTTTATTTCTTTTTGTTTGATTCCACGGTTTCTTACTTTAATGACTAAAAAGTATTATATAAAAATGTGCAACACAAGATTGTCTTTTACTTTGTTAAAGTTATAGAGTTTTGTAAAAGATCGTACAAGAGTTTTTATCCGAAATCGTAGTTATAAATGGTGATAGATATATGTGATGACAATACAACAATGGAATCGGGTTTCCTTGCCACAAACAAAAGAACTTTGTGTTTTCAACACATATTCCCCAACCAAAAGAAGCTTGTGCTTTCAAAGACAAGAATAGTGGTACGTTTCTATACATTAAAAAAAGACAAAACTATAGAAATTGTTTTTGTGATTTATTGAAATTTAATGTTTCAGTCAAATGACAATTTTAACAATTATAAATGAAACAATTTCACCAGTTTAATTAAAACAACTTCTCAAATTCACCGATTTAACTGAAACAACTTCACAAATTTAACAAAAATAATTTCTATCAATTTAACAAAAAGTTTATTTATCTATAAAAATCCGAATGGAAACGATTCATAGCTTCTAGGTTGTAAACGAACTGAGCATTCAACAAATTGTTAATGAACTATTCAATGAGAAGTTTGTTTATATTAATTTATTTAATAAACAAACAAGCATGAATAAAATATCTCGTTTAGTTAAACGAACGGCACAGAAAATGCTTTCGTTCGTTTCATTATGTTCATGAACATTCGTTTATTTTTGTTTATGTATACACACACATGTTTGTATGTGTTTGTACGTTTAAGTTTACATCTATAGGTTTCTATGTTCATTTAAGCTCATTTGTATTCATTTGTTTATGTTCTTTAATGTTGATTTATGCTCGTTCATCAGTTAAACGAGCGAACATAAACAAACTGAATTTATTAATGAATGAATATAAACATAAACTTTTGTTCGTTTAATTGTTCGTGTTCTTTCGTTTGTCATTTAAAGTTAAACGAATGAATATGAACAAGTCTTCGTTCGTGCTCATTCGGTTCGTTTATATACATAATAACTTCAATACATCACCATTACCTATTTGTACATAATCTAATACAATTTCATCAACTTAACAAAAACAACTTCACAGATTTAACCACATATGAATATAGTAGCTAAATAATTACAATAGCAAATATTCAACTAAATAATTGCAGTACCAAAAATTCTGAAGCAGTACCCAAATAATCGCAATACGAAAAAATATGGTAACTAACTTAAGATGAGATGAACAACGAAATGGATTAGAACTTAGAAGATAGCGATGATGACAAATTTTGTGGCGTTGGTTACTACTATGGGTAAAGAAAAGACAAAGCGGTCTGGGATAAGAGGATATATGGATAAATTTTTATAAAAAGAATTGTCCAGAGCCAAACTAAATCAATTAGAGAGTTATTTTTAGAGAAATTGACTTGTTAGGTTAAAAAAACCTATTAGAAATGTTTACATATAGGTAACTTTTTTTTTTGTATAATGTAGGTAACAAACTTATTGGAAGTATTCACATATGATCATTATGATCGGTTGTAAGCAAGTTACAGCTTGTGTGTCGTATACGTGACAAAGATAATTACCCAGGAGGGTAGTGAACTGTAGTGTCACATTTAGGTAACTTCTTTTTTGTGTACATATAGACAACAAACTTATTGGAAGTGTTCACATGACAATTATGATCGGTTGTAGCAAGTTACAACTTGCATGTCGTATATGTGGCAAAGATACTTACCCAGGAGGGTAATTACCTGTTGGTTTTGTTCATATCTAGGCAATTTCCTTTTTTGTTCACATTCGACCATCAAACTTGTTAAAGTTGTTCACATAATACCATTGTTTCAGAAATTTAAATCGGTAGTTGAAGTCGGGAACATTTGCTCCACTTATGTTACCTCAAACTACTTATGACATTCTTTGGTAAATTGTCAATAATTATTACCCCTAATGTACTAATACCAATGCAAAAACTCTTAATATATACCAAGTAAGAAAATACAATCAACTAGCTAGCACATTGTAGCATATAAATCAATTTTCTAAAGTATACTAGTGCATCTGTAAAGTTCTAACTGGGTAAGCATAGGGCTTAGTGAGTTCATGGTTTTAAAGAAAATACCTTAGTGTACTTAGAACCTTAAGGTGTATTTAAGGGAAATACCTTAGTGTACTTCGACCATGTGAAAATTTCAACTTGGTGATGTCGACAAGTTAGGTGTATTCGACAAGAAGATTAAAAATGAACTCTAATCACTTTACTAATATAATTCGGATGCACAAAAGAAAATAAATATACATGCATTTGATTTTTGTGAGAAGCTTTCAACTCGACAAGAAGATTAAAAATGAACTCTAATCACTTTACTAATATAATTCACCCGAACAAAAGGAAATAAATATACAAGCATTTGACTTGTGTGAGAAGATCCCAATCTCACAAAAGGTTTCTGGTGTGGATTGTAGTCGACTCCAACTAGTGATTAAAATTTCTGAACGAGTAGTATTATGTGAACAACTTTAACAACTTGGATGGTAAAATGTTACAAAAAAGGGAAATTGCATAGATGTGAATGAAATCAATAGTTCATTACCCTCATGGGTAATTATCTTTGCCACATATACGCCACGTAAGCTATAACTTGGTACAATCAGTCATAATGGTCATATGTGAACACTTCCAATAAGTTCGTTGCCTATATTTGTACAAAAAAAAGTTACCCAAAGTGTACAAAACGAAAAGATAATTACCCTAACAATTCAATTTACCTTATATTTATTTATCAAACACTCTTATTTTTGAACCGTTAAGAGGTTGCCTATTAATAAGACCATGAAGAGGGTTACCAAACAACCTCAAAGTTTTAAAAATATGACACATGCAAAATTCTAGTTTTATTTTCTTAAATCAATGGACCTTTTCACTAACAATAATTGAAAACCACTATTAAATACATGTAAAATTACAATATATTGTTGGGGTATGTTTTGGTTGTAAAGTGCTTAAAGTTAAAGGTAGCTAAAGTTTGGACATCAGAAGTGATTGATCCTCTCTGAAATGTTGTCTATACTGAAGTAGTTGGTAGAACTTATTAATTTCCTTCAACATATCTCTTTATCACATGGTCTGAAGAGATTATGGTGTGTGTTAATCTAAGCTAGTTTGTTGTGCTTAACTATCAATGTCCACATGTTAGTTTATGATTAGATGTGTCTTCACCACTTGTGCCTACATATATTACAATTGTCATTAGGAAGATTGACGAGCTTTCATGCTCATAACTTCTCTGTTATTGGAACTATTGATTGTAATTCTTTCCTACATCTATTTAAATAGCGTAACATAATATTCACATCTTTGTGTTCATACTTTCTCATTGATTCTATAACTATTCTTGAATCCAACACCCATCAAGTGGTATCAGAGTAATATTTTTTTCATCTCTTTGAAGAATTTTATTTATATTTCATTATAGGTTTGAATTTGTTCTCAGATCTGATTTATGCTTTTGAAATGTAGTTCTTTCAAGTTGTTTGAAGTTTATAGATCACGTTTTCTTGATTCAATTCTAAATTTTAACACTTCTATGATGATTAACTATGTTGATCTTCTTAGTTCGTATACAAAAAATCCAATGTTACTTTTTGATTATTGCGATCAACAGGATGATTAGATAGAGGGTTATTTAATCAGTCTTGATGAAGATTTATAGAGGCTAATCAAATAATGTCCATTTACTCCAAATATTGTTGGTCGTGGAATTGATAATGAGTATGTATTGCTACAAATAAGAAAAAAGTTAAAAATGACAAAGGGTACATGTAACTCTTGTTTTGCAGAAAGTTAATTGTCAAGTTGATTGCTCCTAAACTTGGGTTTTAAAGGTTTTTGGGAGGATCGCGATGCGTCAACTTGGTGATCGCGGCACATGCCATGCCATTAAGTCGCGATGCGTCCATGTATTTGTCATGACGTGTTGCCTTAATCATCCTAAAACCTAATATTAGACCTTGAGCCCTATATAAAGTCACTAACTCCTAGGGTTTATCTTTCATGTAACATCCCCAAAACATAAAAAAAAATTTATTCCATTTTAATAATATTAAAACCATTCCATTTTCATTCAAAGATCAAAGGATAACAAAAGTACGAGTTTTAAATTCCAAAAACCAATATCTGAGTAATAAACATGGAAGTCATAAAATATGGAAAGCTTAGATGGATGAGATGAAATTAGGCTACCCCCTTCCATTTATTGCTAGAAGCACCTAAAACATTTAAACTTAAAACCATAAACATAAATCTTAGTGAGTTTCCCAAAATACCTCATACATATAAGTAATGGGCCTAGCCCAACAAGCATGTTTCAGTTATATGGGCCTAACCCAACGAGTCCAACCCAACCATGGGGTCCTAGCCCTACATGTCTATCCCAATTATACAGGCCCAACTCACCAATAATGTAAGCATACAACAACTAGCTATGCCTATATCAACCATATATGGACACATAGTGTCCTACATAATATAGTGAGAAAACTTACATGATCAAAGAGTTGAAAAGACAATACTCAAAGTAATGTAGAATCAGATGCATGAACCACCTATAACACATAGAGGTCACACCTAAATATACAACCTAAAACTCTCGAGTTTAACCAAAAGTCAATGGTCAACCACCACCGACCACCGCTTCGCGACCAACTCTATGGTCGTGTCATGATCACAAAAAGACAAAATAGTCGCGGCATGGCACAGCATGGGTGTATTTTAAACCATCTTTACCACAAAACACAGGTCCATGAGTTAAATCAATCAATTGAAAGGTTCTAGAGTTCCTCAAACTCCAAGAACCTCTTTAAAATGGA